AAGAATCAGATGGGGCTTTCAGCTATATCGCCAATTTTAAGACAGCTTTCCCAGATGTATTGCTTGCAGTTTCTAGACTTCCAGTGAGGATGGGAAAGGGTACTGTTTTGCTCCCAAAGGACTGCTTGCTCAATCTTTGTGGTTTCTGTCCTCTCTTATTCTTTCTTGCAGAGATGACCTCTGGCAAAGTGGCCCTTTATGTCCTAGCTCTTCGGTCCTCCTGTCAGAATCCTACTGATGTCAGCACGCCAGAAAAGCATGTCAACCTGGTCCAAGTCCTTGAGAAGAAAACAAAGGAAGAGATTAAGCATATCTGTAAGAAGACAAATGGGCATTAGATTCCTGCCTATCACTCAGATGACAAGATAACAAGAATATGGATGATTAATGCATGAATCCAGTTCTCTGTGCTGTTCCCCCACCTCTGTGTTGCAAGGATGGTACTCATCTGAATTGGAATACCCATCCCTTTTAGGAATGTCGCCTATGGAATTCCCTGGTTTTGTTCCAAGTGGTTCCAAGATCAACATAAAGCTAGCACCCATCTGGACATCTCAGGACAGACATGCTCAGTCTATGCTATAGCCATTCTCTTAGCCAGCATGGCGATTACCTGTTCTTTTTCCCAGTTATGAGTAACATTTTATCTTCTACATTTGAAAGACTAGTACAACTTTAGTTGTCTACAAACATCCTTAAAATTGGAGTTAGGACAACCTTTCCCCAGAAAAGTTGAATCTAGTTTCCTCCCTATGCAAATAACAACTGAATCAGTCTGTTGTTGGAATACCAATCCCCCATGCATGTCTATTCTGCTAAATGTTCTGCTATTTACCTCTGTTTTTTTAAAAAAGGTTGAAAAATGCATTTTTATAACAGTTGCAAAATTGATCCAGACTAATGATGATAGAAGAGGATGGTTTTGTAACATTACATGTTCCAGGCAATGAGCACTGTGCATAACACCTACTAAAAACAGCAAAATGTTTGCAAGTTCTCTCTGAATGGTGAAATTGCACTGATGTACTTTTGAGGGAGATTTGTCTTAGTTAAGGCAGAAAGCAGTGTTCTGTGCTAGAGAGAGTAGAACTCATAAAGCACAAAATCTACTTCAGCAATTCTGTATCTGTATCTTTGCATCATGAGTTTCCAGCACACACTAGAGTAGTCTCCAAGCATGATCTATATCTCACAGATACTTGCCACAAAAAGCCAGTACTGTGGGGTAAGCAGTGTTATAAATTATGCCTATGTGACATCTATAGCCCCTCTGAAATATTCTCCCTATAGAATTATAAACTCTCATGAAGCAGAAAAATGGGACTACATTTGCTGCCCCTTCTCATCATTTTCCCATCATTTGGGCCTACTGCTTTCCAAATGTTAGAGAGGAAAATCTGGAGCTACAAATCCAATTATTGCCCATACATTAGCTATGTGGACACCTTCCAGGTATGTAGACTTCAATTATCATGCCAGCTGGGGAATTCTGGAACTGATGTCTATAGATCTGGAAAGTGCTAGTTCAGCAAATGTTATTTCATGTGATTTAGAATCCTGCACCATCAGGGTTATAAATTGCACTGGAGTCCTACAGATGTACATTAGGTATCTGATTTCAGATCTCCCCTTCTCCAATCATACTTTAATAGTACTTTTCTATTTCTGCTATGTTTTGAACTCAACCTCCAAACAGTAATGGGCTAAGGGTAGATGTCTTCTGTGACCAGACAGAGAGTAACTCATAAATTTATTTACCTTTCAGATACTACTGGGACCCCCAAGACAACCTACTACCAATTGGCTCTAAATACTTTGGTTCTGTGTGTGGAAAACAGTCCAGAACTTGAAACAGCTGCCACCGCCCTTGCCAAGGCAGCCCTGGCTAATAGTTTCCAATTGCATGGTCGTTTCTCTGTAGGTAAGATAACGCTTCACACACACACACACAAGATTTTTGAATGTGATTTTAAATTACCTTTTTACTCTGAGCTTCCAAGGATGTCAGGATATCCCTCCTAATATTACACGGTAATGATCCTGGGAAGTAGGTTGGACTGAGAAATGATTATTGGGGCACCAGTGAGCTTCTTGGTGAGCAAGTGATTGATAAGCTCGGGGTTGTGCATCCATCCTTGCCCTACTTGACCTCTCAGTGGCTTTCGATACCATCAACCATGGTATCCTTCTGGATCGGCTCAGAGGATTGGGGGTGGGCAGCATTGTGTTGTGCTGGTTCACCTCCTTCCTCCAGGGTCGATTCCAATTGGTGGTGGTTGGGGAGGAGAGATCCCACCCTCGGCCCTTGTTATGTGGGGTGCCACAGGGTTCAGTGCTCCCCCCCCATTTAACATCTACATGAGGCTGCTGGGCGAGCTCATCTGTCACCATGGGGTGAGGTATCATCAGCATGCTGATGATACCTAATTATACATCTCTGCCCCTGATGAATTAAGCAGTGCTGTGAAGGTCTGGATGGGGAACAACAGGCCTCAACTGAACCCTGGCAAGACTGAGTGGCTGTGGGTTTTGGGGCCTTCTGGTGCTAGAGCTATGCCACCTTTGGTACTGAATGGGGTTGCACTGTTCCAGACAGACCCTGTGCACAATCTGGGGGTCCTCCTGGACTCATGGCTCCTGCTCAAAGAGCAGTTGGCAGTCGTGGCTAGGAGGGCCTTTGCATAGCTTCGTGTTGTGCACCAGTTGCACCCATTCCTAGATCAGAGGGACCTAATCACTGTCACCCATGCCCTGGTCACTTCCTGTTTGGATTTCTGTAATGCACTCTACATGGGGCTACCCTTGAAGAGTATCCAGAAGGCTCAGCTGGTGCAAAACGCAGTTATGTGGGCAGTTATGTGTGCCCCTAGGGCGGTACATGTCACACCTCTGTCCATGAGCTGCACTGGTTGCCAGTTTGCTTCCGGGTCCAATTCAAGGTGCTGTTTTTGACCTTTAAAGCCCTTCATGGCATGGGGCCGGGTTACCTGAGGGACCGCCTCTCCCCGATTACATCTGCCCATCCCATCAGGTCTGGGAGAGAAGGCATGCTGTGGATCCCGTCTGCCAGAGAATTACATGTGGCGGGTCCCAGGAGGTGGGCCTTCTCTGCCATGGCGCCCACCTTGTGGAATCTTCTCCCCCTAGAAGTGAAATTAGCTCCATCCCTCTTAACATTCCGCAAGTCCCTCAAGATCTGGCTATGTGATCAGGCCTGGGAGTCCCAGGGGACTGGGGAGATTTTATGATGGCTCTCATTAATTTTATTCCCTTCTATTTTGTGTGTTTTTACAGTTTTTTATGAGTTTTTATGTATTTACTTTTTTTAATTGTTGTATGCTGCCCAGAGTCACCTTTTGTGAGATGGGCAGCTATATAAATATGATAAATATGATAAATAAATCCCTGTAATCCATTACTCCACCCACAATGACAATTTGTAATAAACAGCCTTTTTCAGTTTGGCCTGCTTCTCTCTGATATATGCTTGTCCAGCACTTATACCAAAGAGATCATTCACTCTTCCTGGACTGGAAAACACTCCTGACTTTCTTTTCACTGGGTGATCCCTTGTCCTATGTGATTTACAGATACTGCTGCCATGGCAAGTCTAGCACTGTTTTGCGTGTATGAAGGAAGAGTCTCATCTCACCAGAGCAAACTAACAGGAACGATACAAAACGCCTTGGCCCTGATCACAAAGCAAATCCTTGATGAACAGCAGAACAATGGTATCCTTGGAAACATCTATAACACTGGCCTCGCAATGCAGGTACATATGAAGGGAAGAGAATCCAGGAATCTCATCTTCATCTCTCTGAGTCTTACTGAGCATCTCTCTCTTGCTGATTTCCAGGGTCTTAGAGTCATGTCGGAGTTCTACACTGCTGATGCATGGAGCTGCCAAAAGACCCTGAAAGAAGTGCTGCAGGACATCACTGAGGGAGCCTTTAGCACTCCAACTGCTGTTTCTCAGATCCTACCTTCTCTTATGGGCAAAACATACTTGGATGTGAGGGGTCTTACTTGTACCTCTGAAAATGGTAAGGCAATTGCTTCAGTGGGAAACCTCTGCTCTCTGAAGGAGAGAAAAGCAGCAACTTTGGCTAGTGAGATAGAGACAAGGCCTAAATGAGCCTGCATTGAAGATCCCCCTTCCCCCATCACCACGTTTCCACACCAGGAAAAGCCACCGCTTTGCAGCTATTGCTTATTTTGGAGTTCTTAGGCACACAACAGCTATTCTGGAAGAAAGGGAATGATGGACGCTGGAGGTGGAGATGACAGTGCTATTCCCAGGTAATGTTTGTTCCATCTGACTGCATCTGGAACACTTCCCTGAAGATGGGAGCGATCAGATGAACTAAACAAGGACAAGCATTTTTAGCCACACTTTAAAAAATGTATTTATTTGTTGAGCCCAAAGGATGCAGGAAGCAGGATTGGAATGCCGTAATGCCATTGGAGAGGTGTGTGGGCTAAAATTTTCAGCAGTGCAGCTGGGGGAAAATTTTTTTATTCAAAATAAATGTGTTGTGCTTACCAGAAGCTTAATGCACCAGAATTAGTGGCTTATGTCATTAGAAACAATTGCAGAATCCTCCACAAAAGTATGCCACCAAAGCCTGGTGATTTTTGATCTAATATGAAAGTTTCTGGGATCTGCAAAACAAAGGGGATGCTATGGGTTGCCTATGGATTGCCCATCCTGGAATGATTCATTTAACTCAGTGTTATGGATCTGCAGCTTCTACTTAATGGATCATCCCTACTGATGAAAAAACAGCTGCAACCTCTAGCATAGCTCACCCCTGTCAGGCTGGCCAGCGTTGGTGCTGGGAGCTGTAGTTCAGTGATTCTGGAGAGCTGTAAGTTCACCATGCCTGTTATACCGGATGCCAGAAAAAAATGGGCAATGCACATGGAGCTCTGGGATAGCAAGCACATTTTAATTCTGGCTAAGGATGTACTTCTCACTACAACAAGGAAGAGCAGTTATAGCACCTTTAAATTTCATGCCAGGTTTTGCTACCAAGTCTCAGCTCATGTCACTGGCTCTCCCCACCTCAGCTGTGCAGGCCCAGGACTGCCAGTAGACAATAAGAGTGTAATGGCAGTCCTGGACTTGGCAGTTCCTCAGTGGCAATACACCCCTTGAACAAGGTATATATATTATCTTGGGAAGAAGGAAACTGCTGAGCCCTGAAAGATGTAACATAGTTCTCCAGATAACTGCAATATTTTTCTCCTATATTAATTATGATTAACTTGTTAAGGAATATGCAGCTATAGGATAATAATAACCAATAAAACCAAAAAGAATAGATTGATGCCTGTTCTGATGATAAAGTCTTCAAGTCGAGCTCAACTCCTCATGACTTCATGGATATATCCATGTAGTTTTCTCAGCTGCAACACAGAAGTGATATGTCATTGCCTTCTTCCGGAATATATTTTCAACTTCCCAGTCTGGCCTTTAGCATTGGCATCTCCTAGAAGTATCCTATCCAGAGACGAGTCAGCCTTGACCCTGCCTAGCTTTTGAGCCCAGACAAGATTTGCCAG